TTTTTATTCCATAGCCTCTCCTAGTGACATTATAATTGCATACATTCCCTTAGGAACAACCGTTCAGTTTTACGAGAATATGTGGAACTATATTTATGTTCTACATTTTTCATGCAGGATCATCCTAAGAGCCATCATAGTATGTTTAGGCCTCTTGCATCTAGCCTTCCAAGCACAGGCATCTATTCTGGGAAAGGCAGTTCATCGTACCATCACATTATGTTAAGAAATTCTTCTGCAACAGTTGGGAGCAATTCAAGTTCTGGCCAAGTTATAGGGTTCGTTCCAGATATTAGAGGGAGTGATCCTATCCCTGTTTTCCAATCTGAAGGGTCTGCTTTCGGCGTGGTAGATTTGTTGAATGATGGAAGTAGACATGAGAGTTTCAGTGACCAGCTTGGTGATACGGATCAAGGTTATGCTGTTGAATGCGAGTCTAAAGTGAACGAGGAGGTTGAAAATAGTTTGACTCATGTAGGCAATGACTATTTAGAAGGGGTTACTCTTGAAACTATGGAGGTTTGTGTTAGATGTGGTTCCCACTATCGTGTCACTGAAGCAATTAGCAGCGAGATAAATATTTGTCCAGATTGCATGGAGGAGCACAATTTTGTGGAAACAGATTCCCCTGGAACAATAAGAGCTCTTGATGAAATTTCCCCACAGGAATCTCTGGAAATTTTGGATGAGAAGAAGTCATTTGTTGAGAAAATTCCTGTGATAGATGTGCTTGAATCGCTGCCTGTTGTTATGATTGAGGCACAAATCATGGAGACACAAGAAAACACCGAGCAGTGTGATTACGAGCAAGAACAAAATCATCTGCATGAGAGCTCTATTTCCAGGGCTTTGGAAGAGCAATATGCGGAGAAAATAAATCACCCTGATGAAAAACAGTCTTCCTTTGGCTGTGGTATAGGCACAAAAGAATCTCAAACTCAGCTTTCTGATCAGCATCATGATGTGAAGATTAATTCTTCAGGAGGTGTGGGCGTTCCTTTGCTTATAAAGCGATCAAGCAGTATGAAGTCACCCATTATTCAAGCTAATATCTCTAGTGGTTTTACCAGATCATATGATGGTTTTTCTTATTTAAGGGACAAAAGTATTAGTCTTAGAAGCTCCACAGAAACTACTTCTGCATCTTCATCTTGGGATTATGGTTCCTCTATAAGAAAGGGAAGCCATGTACGACAACGAAGCGGGAGTACACTCGACATGGAGACTCATAGATATGATACAAACTCCAAGTCCCTGAGCATCATGTCATCTTCATCTGGCGTGTCAAACCACTCCTGCCAGGCTCTAAATGTCATGCCAGAGAACAGTTTTGGTATGTGTGCTTCCCAAATGACATGTACCCACGATGAAACTCATCAAGATTCTCACCCTGAACTCATCAATGTGATGACTACTGATTTCATTGAAAGCATGGGATCAATTGGTATTTCAACCAATGCAGTTGGTGCTCTTGCAGAGCATAATCCAGTGGTAATTGACAATGGATTTCGTGAAAATGAAGATGATGTAGCCAACACTGTGATGAGCAAAGTGGAGATAAGGGAATCACCAGCACATGCAAGGAGCACGTCCGAACTAGGAGCATCACCTATCACTGATGACTGCTCTCTCTATGATCACTCTAGGCTACAAGAAAAGGATGGAACTGAATCTCCCCATCATGGTACAACAGCCTCAGAAATACCAGAGAATTGTGAACCCGAAACACCTGGTTTAGGGGTTCGGGATGAAATTCCAGACTCAGAGTGCAACATAAACGCCGTGGATGACTGCTCAGAGAAGAGTGTGTCACATGTTTCTGTGGATCATCACAACTCATTGGCCCCTGTAAATGAAATTTTAGGTATTTACTCGTCTTCTCATCTGATAACAGCATTTAACTGTACTTTCAAAATAGTTTGTTGAATGTATTTTCGTACAACCTTGCGAAGTTCAGACATGGTTTCTTGCTTTTTGCAGATGAGTCAACCGTACTTGTGGAGTGTTCCAGTGGAAAAGAGCCAAAGAGCCTCACACTCGAAGAAGCCACTGATACAATACTTTTCTGCAGCTCCATTGTTCATGATTTAGTTTACCAAGCTGCAACAATAGCAATGGATAAAGCAAAGGATGTGC